TACCTGGGACCACTAGGAAACATCACTTACTAGCTTAGACACAAACGTCCACCTCTTCACTCCATAGATGGCGTTCACTGTCTAAGCGCCACATCACCAGAGGTCAGCAGCGGCTACGTCGCGAGTCGACTAGGACAGGAATCCAGCACCTGTTGCCGGCATATCCTGTCACCACTAGATGGCGTTGTCCATGTTGTGGGGTTTTCGGGAGCGGACTCACAGATGGCGTTGTCGTCACTGCTCCGTGCTCCGACGATGGACTCGGGTCCGTAACACCAAGCCAAACCAAACATAACCCAGCCAAGCCAAACTAAACATAACCTAATCAAGTCAAACCAAACCCAGCCAAGCCAAACCAAACCAAACCCAGCCAAGCCAAACCAAACCAAACTCAGCTAAACCAAACAAAACCAAACCCAACCTTACCTTACCTAACCTTACCAAACCAAACTCAGCCAAACCAAATTCAGCCAAACCAAACTCAGCCAAACCAAACCCAACGAAACCAAACCAAACCCGGCCAAACCAAACCCGGCCAAACCAAACCCGGCCAAACCAAACCCGGCCAAACCTAACTCGGCCAAACCCAACTCGTCCAAACCAAACCCGGCCAAACCGAACCCGGCCAAACCAAATCCGGCCAAACCACACACGGCCAAACCAAACCCGGCCAAACCAAACCCGGCCAAACCAAATCCGGCCAAACCACACACGGCCAAACCAAACCCGGCCAAACCAAACCCGGCCAAACCAAACCCGGCCAAACCCAACTCGGCCAAACCCAACTCGTCCAAACCAAACCCGGCCAAACCAAACCCGGCCAAACCAAACCCGTCCAAACCAAACCCGGCCAAACCAAACCCGGCCAAACCGAACCCGGCCAAACCAAATCCGGCCAAACCAAACCCGGCCAAACCAAACCCAGCCAAACCAAACTCGGCCAAACCAAACTCAGCCAAACTAAACCCAGCCAAACCAAACCCAGCCAAACCAAACCCAGCCAAACCAAACCCAGCCAAACCAAACCTAGCCAAACCAAACCCAGCCAAACTAAACCCAGCCAAACCAAACCCAGCCGAACTAAACCCAGCCAAACTAAACCCAGCCAAACCAAACCCAGCCAAACTAAACCCAGCCAAAGTAAACCCAGCCAAACCAAACTCAGCTAAACCAAACCCAGCCAAACTAAACCCAGCCAAACCAAACCCAGCCAAACCAAACTCAGCTAAACCAAACCCAGCCAAACCAAACCCAATCAAACCAAACCCAACCTCACCTTACCTAACCTAACCTAACCTTACCTTACCTTACCTTACCTTACCTTACCTTACCTTACTAAACTCAGCCAAACCAATGTTAACTAAACCTAATCAACCCAAAGCTAACCCAAGCAAGCCTGACCCAACCTAACCAAAGCAAACCTAACCAAACCTAACCTAACCAAAGCAAACCTAATCTAACCAAACCAAACCAAAGCAAACCTAACCTAACCAAACCAAACCAAACCTAACCTAACCTAACCTAACCAAAGCTAACCAAAGCTAACTAAACACAACCTAACCTAATGAAACAAAACCTACACATCATTCCACGATTGGTGGGGAACGGATTAATTCAATTGCCTTTATTTCATATTGGAAAAATCGCTTCGACTTACGATATTTTGATTACGATACATCTTTGGGAACAGATTACCATCGTAAATCGAGGGCCCCACTCTATAATAAGACATCCACCCCATGTGGTGGCGGGTCGAGTGACCTGAGTTCCACATCACTCAGCGCCCATAATTTGCTCAACTTCGCAGCTAAACCATGGCTAAAAAATGTCATAAACAATATTTTTTTTTTAATTTCCTGTGATCAGAGACTGCATTTTATTAATATAAGAAGAGAAAATAATATTTTGAAAAGAATTTATTTTTAGCGCACCACGGATGTGTCATATTTTATTTAAAGCTGTGCAGCATGGTGGTTAAAGATTAATAATGCTCAAATATGTAACATTTTTATACCAAATTGTTTGTAAGTGATTATTCTATCATATGTCATAATGAAAATGAAGAATTCATATTAAATAATTTTTTTATGAATATTTAAATCAAGACTGATATAGTTGGCTTATGGAAATACAGGCTATTACATAATTTGCAGCCTACAATAATTACAACATTGTTATGATTTTGATATGGAATTGTTCACTAGTAATTGTTCTATCATGTGCCATGTTCAAAATGATAAATATACAACAAATAAATGTTCTGTGATATTTTGTTTATATTGGATGTATGATTCTTTCTTTTTCTCTTCAGATGGAGGGGTGAGACAGCCTGGGGCTGACGGGTAGAACGAATTCTGCGGTGGAACAAATCGGCCTCCCCCCTTCCCCCATAGTTCGTTTAAGTAAACACACACTATTATCAACATCTCCTGCACTATGGCACCATGGTAACACATTTGAAGCATCGTGCATGCATTATCAATATCTCATGCACTATGGTAACAAAGGAAACGTGAATTTAAATACAAATTTGGTGTATCATTAATTTTAAAATCTCAATATTTATTAATTTATGTGTATGTACTATTTATGTTTTTAATATTTTTGTTGGCCAAGAAACCATTTTTATTTTTAAATTAATTATTTTTGCAGGGTACTTTTATCCTCTGGTCCCATTGTAAACACGTTTAATATGTAATTTCCATTTTAAAACATTACACACTTTTTCTCCTATGTGAGTTATTGTAAATGTTGAGAGAGCATTTAAAAAAAAAATAATCTTTACACTGTATAATAATTATGATTTTTTTAGGTAATTTACTCTTAGCTCAAAAGGCTCTCTAAGTAAGATAATATATCAGTGTTCTTAATGCTTAGATTTTTTTTATTTATTTCCATATAATGCTCAGATTTTTTTTATTTCCATATTTACATGAAGGTATAGGGGATTTAAAAATATTATGAGCACGTGCACGGTGCATTGGATCGGTAATTTCTTGTTAAACTCACATACACAAATAACAAACCACGTGAGGGACCATTGTACCTGACCCTTGTGCTACGGCTATATTTATAAGACATCCTTCAGTTCTGTGGGTATTTATAATAAGACATCCCTCAGTTCTGTGGGTATTTATAATAAGACATCCCTCAGTTCTGTGGGTATTTGTAATAAGACTTCCCTCAGTTCTGTGGGTATTTATAATAAGACATCCCTCAGTTCTGTGGGTATTTATAATAAGACATCCCTCAGTTCAGTGGGTATTTATAATAAGACATCCCTCAGTTCTGTGGGTATTTATAATAAGACATCCCTCAGTTCTGTGGGTATTTATAATAAGACATCAATCAGTTCTGTGGTTATACTTGTAATAAGATATCTCAAATTCTATGATTATTTTCATAATTAGACTACAGAACTCAGTTCTGTAGTTTTGTTTATAATGAGACATTTCAGTACTGTGGCTATATTTATAATAAGACAGCCCTCACTGCTCTTCCTATATGTATAATGAAACATCCTTCAGTGCTGGAGCTCTATTTATAATAAGACATAATATATTTATATATAACATAAGGGAGTACCATCTCTGGCAGAAAAAGACCCTTAGCCTCGGAGGAAAGCACACATGACACATTACAGGGAAGTTTTAGGTCCCCTCGAATATTGTTTCTGTTCTTTTATTCTACCACCCCCGTCCATTTTTGTTTGTTTGTCTTTTATTAGGTATTTTAAAGGTATTTGGTATTTTAGGTATTAATATAATATAATATTGTATTTTTTTTTACATTTAGTTAAATCTGACCCCAAAAAAATTGCCACAGGGTTTGTTTTGCTTGGTAAAAAAGTTGTACACAGACACTAACTTTCCTGCTGGTGAACGCATCTGGAAAAGTACATTTGGATGTTTGCTTTTGCACTTGCCAATTCATGGGAAATATTATAGTGTATATTTTATGTCTAGCATATTTTCTAATATAATAAGCACAGTATTATCTTACTATTTATTAATTACAGGTGGTTTACATATTGTAAAATATTTCCATTCTCTTGTGTCTTTGACATGTTATTAAATTATTTTATATGCCTACAAAATAGAATTAGATTATTTCAATTGCTTATTTGATACTGAGTACCATCTGTTGATGGTACTCTATACTGAGCTGTTTGCTCCATACTGATTGTCATGTAGTAACTTGTATTATTTATGCATCTGACAGTCCAAGTGTTTTATGCATCTTTTAAGAATATTTGTTTTAGTAATGAACAAAAGCTCATCCTTTTTAAGTCATCACGAATATGTAACTAAGAATTTTCTATAATATTTTTTCAATAAAACAAAAATGTATTTAGGAGAGAAATACCAATAATAATTGTCTATATGACTTAACTAATGAAATGTAGGATAAGTCATTAGACAATACTTAGGTTTTTGGATCACGTAAATTTAGCTTAAAGGTAAATACATTTATTTAATTCTAAAAAAAGTATTTAAAAAAGTATTTTCAACAAAAGGAAGTCTAATAAGGCATTTGAGGATTCGTACAGGAGAGAAACTATATCACAGTTCAGATTGTCAAAAAGACTTATAATGTAAATGCTTTTCATGTAAATCAGGTACAGTAAAACATATGAAACATGAGAGAATTTGCATTTAGTTAATCATAGAAAACTGTACAAATATTTATTCAAAAGCAAAATGTCACCAGTGTTGAATGTCCAAAATTATTTCATGAAAACATCTTGCATAATAGCATACAAAAACATAGAGAAGAAAATTAATATTAAATGTTCATTGTCTAAACTACTTTAAAAATATAAAACTTTAAATATGAATACCCATTCAGGAGAAGAGCCATATCACTGTAGAGTATGTCTAAAAGGCTTTAAATAGGAATCATTGTTAATAATGCACATGAGGAATCATACCGGAGGAAAAATATATTACTGCTCAGAGTGTCAAAATGTCTTTTCAACAAAAACAAATCTAATAAGACACATGAGGATTCATGCAGGAGAGAAATCATATCGCTGTGCAGTGTGTCAAAAAGACTTTAACCAAAAATCAAATCTAATAAAACACATGAGGATTCATACAGGAGAGAAACCATATCACTGTTCAGAGTGTCAAAAAGACTTTTCAACAAAATCACGTCTAATATTACACACGAGTATTCATACAGGAGAGAAACCATATCACTGTGCAGTGTTTCAAAAAAAGTTTTCCCAAAAATAAAATCTAATAAAACACATGAGGAGTCATACAGGAGAGAGACTGTATCACTGTTCAGAGTGCCAAAAAGACTTCATATAAATCAGATCTAATATCACACATAAGGATTCATACAGGAGAGAAACCGTATCACTGTTCAGAGTGTCAGAAAAACGTTTCATCAAAATCATATCTAATAAGACATATGAGGATTCATACAGGAGAGAAACCATATCGCTGTTCAGAGTGTCAGAAAGACTTTTCCAAAAAATCGCATCTAATATCACACATGAGGATTCATACAGGAGAGAAACCATTTAACTGTTCAGTGTATCAAAAAGATTTTTCAACAAAATCAACTCTAATATCACACATGAACATTCATACAGGAGAGAAACAATATCACTGTACAGTGTGTCAAAAAGATTTTTCGACAAAATCACATCTAATAAGACACATGAGGATTCATTCAAGAGAGGAACCATATCACTGTTCAGAGTGTAAAAAAATCTTTTCAACAAAAGCAAGTCTATTAAAGCACATCAGGATTCATACAGCATAAATGCCATTTGAATATTGTGTCTCTAAAAGCTTTTCATATAAATCATGTACAGTAAGACATGAAACATGATACAATTTGCATTTAGTTAATCTTAATACAGAGGACCACGGGCTTTGCAAGCCCCTCGGGGGATGAGACCTGTTGGTTACCCTGTAAGTTCATAAACGTGAAATGTAGGAAAAAATATATACGAGAAGTGTAGGAATGAAATCTAAGGGAAAATTTGACAGGTTCATAGCATAAATGCGACAGTATTTTGTTTGTACTCGCCAAGAAAAGAAGTCCTGATCCACTTATGTTAATCTTTGTTGATGTAGCATAGTTATTTACCATGGAAGAGGTGGTGGTGGATGTTGATGATGTTGGGTTGACTGAAGTGGAGAAGAATGGTGTTAAGGTAACCTCAGATGTTGACGCATTTGGGTCAACATGTGATGAGTCAGGTGCAGGTGAGGCAATGCAAGCTTTCTTGGAAACCTTTGCAAAAGACTCTTTAATTGTTATTTGTTTCATTCCCATTTATCTTATTTTCAAAAACTTCATATACAGATCATACTGGTCAGTCAGTACAGTTATACTTCTGACTGTCAAGCATTCAGTCACAAGTCAGTCAGTCATTACCAGTCAAAGGCTGTTAGGCATTCACAGTTGTGGCAGCAACCAGTCACAGTTTATAAACAACATGAGTCCGAGGTTTGCAGAACACAAACATGGTGTACTCTCGCAAACCCAATGTACCTTTTTGTATGCATGTATGTCAGTCAGGGCAGTCTGCCTCTAAGGCCACCATCTGGTAGGAAGGTTGCAGAGAATCTGGACTGTATTAATACCCGTCTACTTGCACTTAGAAGGGTGGGGGGGATGGAGAGGGGGGAGCTGAGGGGATGTGGTGTGACCACAGCCAGTCTGTGATATTCCGCCTGCCCGCCCGAACCCACCCAATTCTTCCTACCCGCCCGAACCCACCCAATCCTTCCTACCCACCCGAACCCACCCAATCCTTCCTACCCGCCCAACCCACCCAATCCTTCCTATCCGCCCGAACCCACCCAATCCTTCCTACCCGCCCGAACCCACCCAAGCCTCCCTACCCACCTAAACCCACCCAAGCCTGCCTACCCACCTAAACCACCCAAGCCTTCCCAAACCCACCCAAGCCCACCCGAACCCACCCAAACCCACCCAAGCTTGCCTACCTGCCCGAACCCATCTAAGCCGGCCTACCCACCCGAGCCCACCCAAGCCTGCCTACCCACCCACCCGCCTGAGCCTATCCACCCGCCCAAGCCCGCCTACCCACCCAAGCCCACCTACCTACTCGAGTCCACCCAAGCCTGCCTATCTGCCCGAAACCCCACCCAAGTCCGCCTAAAGACCGCTCGCTTGAACCCACTGAACCCAGACCGCCCCCTCTGAACCCACCCACCCAGCCAGCCTGCTTGCCCACCAAAAGTTTTTCCCACCAGTTCATCCACCAACCCCACCTAGCTCACCCACTCAATAACGTACCCACCAACCCAGCCTGCCCACCAATCCATCCATCCACACTGCCCGCCCACTCACCCAGCCAGTCCGTCAAACCAGCCATCCTCCCTGCCCATGTACCTACCCACCCTGCCTGCTTTCCAGTGGGTCACCAACTCATCCACATACCCGCCCAAAACTGCCCACCCACCCGCCTGCTAGCTAGCCTGCCCACCAGTCAGCCACCAATCCATCCATATGTTCTGCTCACCCACCTGCTAACCCTGCCTGCCAGCCATCTCATTTCTCCAAGACCTACCCTCCCTGCCAGCCTGCCCATCCACCCACCAGTCAGCCATCACCGACACAATGCGTGCATTTGGAGCCGAAATGGTGCACGGATGTTCTTGTTGTGCAGATACAGTATATCCAACAATTCACAGAATGATCACTCCATTATTTGTGCACCACAGCTTGTGTGTCCGGGGACGTTCTTTGGGTTGATCCAGTTTTCCTTCTTCCCTGTTCGCGGGTACGAATCTCTGAGGTCGTTCGCAAGGTTATTAAGTCTAGCCAGCCTGCGGTCTATCCTAGTGCCCCTCACATTCATAAGTTTGCTGCTCTTGCTGCCGTCTTTGGTAACATGTCTTGGGCTGACATCGGGTACAGGGTTTTTGGCGGTCGAACAGGGTCCTGGCTGCACGCAACCTTGTGAATGTTCCTGAGCCTAGTCGGACCTGTGTCGCTTTGGGTCGGCGGTTGAAGCCAGTTGTCTTGACTTTGAGATGAGATGTGAGTGCCAGCTGCCTCTCTCCTTTCTTTTTCGTCTTTGAAGTAGCAGCTCTGGGGAGCCGTAGGGGCTCCCCCCCCCCCCAGAAAACCAGCATTGAATGTAGTGAAACGCCATTATCTGGATGAGTCCCGGAAGCGGCTCCCCGGCAACCCTCCCTCCTTCTGGTCGGCGGTTTTTGCATATTTTGACATCCAGCTTTGACATATTTTGACATATCTGGAGAGGGAATTCTTTTGGGAATTCTTGTACTCCCCCGAGCCCAGGCTGGGGCCAAGCTCAACTTATAACTTGGTCCAACAGGCTGTTGCTTGGAGCAGTCCACAGGCCCGCATATCAACTACGATCCGGTTGGTCTGGCACTTCTTGCAAGAACTTATCTAAATTCTTCTTGAAGACTTCACCTTTGTTCTGGCATTATTTATAATAGTTGCTGGGAGAGTATTGAACAGCCGTGGACATCTAAAGTTTAGTCAATGCTCTCTAATTGTGCCTATGGCACCTCTACTCCTCACTTGTTTTATTCTGCTTTTCCTTTCGTATCTTTTGCTCCAGTATGTTATTCTACTGTGCAAATTTGGAACCTGGCCCTCCAGTATCTTCCATGTATAATATTTTTTGATACCCCTTTTGTCTTCTTTCCAGAGACAAAGAGTTTTCCTTTACATTTTGAGAGCTTTAAATCGGTCCTAAAAATTTAATGTTTTATCGTTTCTATGTGTGCCGAATAGGTTCTCTGTATTCCCTCTACTGTATTTCAGGAAAATCCCCTGCTCTGAATGAGGAAATGAGTACTGAGCAGTACTCGAGACAGGACAATACCAGTGATTAAAATAGTATTAACATTGCTATGGGATCTCTGGACTTGATCATTCTCATAGTCCATCCTATCATTTTCCTGGCTGCACCTATATTTGCTTGGTTATGTTCACTAAATGTCAGGTCATCAGACTAGCTTAATTCCCAGATCTTTTACATGTTGCTTTCCTTCTATGAATAAGTCTGATTGTGTCTTGTACCCTGTACAGTATTGTGTTAAAGTTTCTAATTTCCACCATACATACCATGTGTAGCTTCCAGGGAACAACGGCCCCATGGCCCGGTTTCCGACTAGACCTTACAATTTGCCAACCAGGCTGTTGGACGTGGCTGCTCACAGCCTGACATAAGAATCACAGCCTAGTTGATCAGGCGTTCTTCAGAGGTGTTTGTCGAGTTCTTTCTTGAACATCGTGAGAGACCGACCAGTTATGCCTCTTATATTTAGCAGGAGAGTGATGAAAAGTCTTGGGCCCTTGATGTTGATGGAGTTCTCTCTGAGTACCTATTGCACCTCTGATTTTCAACAGGGATATTTTGCACATTCTGCCATGCCTACTGATTTCATGTGATGTTATCTCCATGTTTAGATTTGGAACCTGTCCCTCTAATATCTTCCACATGTAGATTATTAGATTATTATGCATCTCTCTTACTTTCGCTCTAGAGAATACAGACTTAAGACTTTTAACCCTTAACTGTGCCGCCTCCAAGACCCCCCCCCCCCCCCCCAGTGCGAAGGAAATAAATTCTCTTGAACAAATTCTTTTGTTTTTTTTAAGTGTCAAAAACCCTTCCCTCAGTATGGGTATGTCAACAAAATTTCGAAATTGTACTTACTTTGGCTGCTATGGGGTCCGTAAGTTGCCGCGTGACGTCATCATGCATTCCCTGTTCGCCCGTGATGTACGATCCCGGGGCCCTTAGGGCGCCCGAGGCGGGGCATGCGAGTTGCCGTGAATATATTTATGTTCATATTTTTGCGCACAGTTCCAAACACATTTTATTTGTTTTTATGTGCTAATCCTATGTATAATGAACACATACACTATATTATGGCAGTAAAACATCCGTACTGTTCGAGGACACTGTGTTACGTGCATGACACTTATGTACACATATGTTGCACGTATTTACCATGTATCATGCTAATTTATGTATATATACAATCTGTTTACAGACTATATACATTCACCATCAGCCCATTCAGAACACCGCGAGTGTGAGCTGTCACACCCAGCCAGCCCTCCCTCAATCCTCCAACATTGTATTCGCCAACATTGCTCCTCCCATCATTCAGTTATTCACACCAATGTTTCATGTTCATTTATGTATATTTACAACATATGTACACACTATACACTGTCACACACTATATACATTTACCATCAACTCATTCAGAACATCGCGAGTGTGAGCAGCCACACCCAGACAGCCCTCCCTTACTCCAACATCTTATACTCGCCAACATTGCTCCTCCCACCATACTGTTATTGTTTTTATTACACCATTTACACATGTTATATATACCTCTCTGCATGTTTTATTTACCAGAACTATGCAAATAAGTCGGTATTGTGTCCAACCAGTACAGTGGCCACCATACACTGCATGAGAAATCACACAGCAGACAGCATACGACGCTACGATTACGACGTTCCCTCCCTCACCAAAATAGCTCCACTCAACATGCTCCTGTTGCTGTTATTTCACTATGGTCACACGCTGAACAGCAGTGCTGTGCGTTCATGCTGCGAACGCCAGCCTTGGTTGCTCACTGATTACTGAGGCTCTCACACCCAGGAATGTGGACTATGAATTTTTTTTAAAGATGGCGTCTGTTTACAAGAGCCCTGAAGAAACTGATGTGAATCCCATGTAGCCACGGGAGTTTTGAATGGAACGTGAAAAATACAAATACCTGGAG